ATATCCCAACAGTAGAACCATGCTATTAATCAGAATGGCCAGAGTCTGAATGCCTGATCAACACATTCCTTGCTCCAATGCAAAATTATAAAGGAGGCATGCCAGAATGTTTCCTTGTCTCACAATGCAGGTCGTTGTTATGTATCCAGATACTAACATACTAATAATATAAAGCAAAACAAAAATAACTATATTCATACTTACTATGATCATCTCCTATTGCAGAAAATTCAATAGTCCACATTGCAAAACTTGCTGTAGTATTTTCTAAGAATAGTTTATGTGTTCTTAAGCATTCTTTTATCCTGCTCAGAAAGAAATTCAAACTTATCTAGTTCAAACACAAGAGTTTTTAAGAAATGATTTTTCATGCTTTGATATGTACGCTTTGGACAAACACCTCTCCTCTCCATTTTTTTCCAAATTGAGTTTCCTCTAAACCCAGCCTTTTTTTTAGACAACAGGAATTTCAATATGGTTTCTTTTTCATTTCTTGAATACAAATCTCTCGTATGTTTATGTTTAGATACTCTATTTTCTTCTTCTGAGCTGTCGGAAGAATCTCTAAACTGTACCACAGATTTACTCTTAAATGCATCATTTTCCCAAAATATAATATTCATATAATTAATCGGTTTGAATGAAAAATTATTGTGCAAGTATTCACTGATATCTAGTAATATATTTCTTTTGATACAATTAACAATATATGAGACTTTGAATGACGGCCTATCAAATAGATATTCTCTACTACTATCTATAACCATTAAAGCAGATTTGTTATTCATATCAATATAACTTTCTATCTTATGACCACCAAAAGAAACAACAATATCTTCAAATTTTCTCTTCAAAGTGAGGTTATCTATTTTAAAATGAAAAGACATTGGCTGACCATTAAATGTCTTAAATAATATAGAATTAATAGAGGTAGTCAATTCGTTCCAGTCAGGCTCTTTAAATGTAATTCGTTTAACTACTTGCACATCCATTTCATCTGACGAGTCTTCATCATTCATGGTAATTAATTGAAATTTACGTCTTTTCTCACAGAATAAATGAAAACTTCACTTTGACAAACAAAAACAGATGCGACACTGATATCGAAACTTTAAAATAAACAAGTAAACAAAACAAAGATGAATGATTTCAACAAGCTTAGAGATAATATTAAATGTTCCTCATCCATAATAACTTCACTGGAGCACTATAAAGTTGTCATAGGCTTCATAATGCGACGGTGAATTTGGTTTGTGAATAACAAATTGTAATGCTCTCAGCATTATGTTAATGTGCCTATATTAATAATATATTTACTTTCCATTTTGTAATTAACTCAGTTTGTTTATTTTTCGAAGCAACATTTTTCATGGATATATTATTCACCATCTTCAAAGGTAAAACCCATGTAAATCGAGTTTTACATATGTTAAAGTTTTAATTGTAAAATTTTGGAAACGTGTTTTATCACTTAAAAGTGAGTTTAGATGTTTCACGAACTACGAAAAACACAGTTATTTAACTTAACTAACAGGGACGTTAGCACTTAACCAAGCTATTTATTATATTTCTCTTGATACCGATAGCAGATGGAAAATACCAAAACAGAAATACTAGAATAATGAAATAACCATTTATATTCATATCTGCGGCGCCTAACAATAGTGTGTTAAATGCAATTTTGTGGATATGTATGGATATCAACAGAAAGCTAATTTTTATCTCCTTCTTAGTGTCTAATGGGCTAAATTATGTAGCAATTAAAGAAAGGAATATTCTTTTGTAAATCGTGGGTTGAAACTTGCTCCTGTGAAAATTTCAAACATACAATTGCGTTCTTGCAAAAATCATATTTTTGCAACTTAACCCACTACGCACAAATACCGCAGATATTTGCTTGTCCTATAGATTTTGTTTTTTCATAGTTTTTGAAATGTCTAAACGCACCTCAAAAGTACCACATTACCAAAAAGACGTTTATAATCAAATCGGCGTCATAGGTTAATATAAGCGAATTTTTTTTTGGACTGACTCAGCTCCACTATTTCACTGTTTCAGAAGTGTAGAACACGCCAAAACTTCAGTATTTGCATATCGATCAAAAGGAAGAGACCCATGATCAACCAATCATAGCAAATGTTTTCTGAATTTATTAGAAGCTGGTGTTCCTCAAGTTAGCGGTTTAGTTCTCGTCTTTTATGTCCTTTTTACTGCTGACATCCCTGTCCAACTCAATATATTTTTTTTTGTTTACTCTCCCTTGTCCACTCGGCAACGGGACGCGACATCTACCTGATTGAGCACTGGTATAATGGAGTGTAATAAATGGAGCATTAAAGTAAACGAATCCAAATGCAAACACACTACATTTACGCCCTGACGAAGATCCTGTCCACTAGTCCACTTTAATTCCATCCAGCTTCCTTTTACAGACACGTTACGGTATATTGGTTTCCTTTTAGATAGAAGACTAAAGTGGAACCCACAAACTAGACACAAAATTTTATTATTTTCTTTTTTCTATTAGTCGTTTCATTTTATAAGCCTTGGAAGTATTCTATCACTAACAGCAATATTTTAATTTTTAAAACCTAAACATATTGGTTTGGGGAAAAGTAATTTAGTTTTTTTTTTTTTTTTTATGTTTTCAAAGCGAATTTATTTATATAAATTTTAAACCCTAACCAATGACATTTGTGCCGTTTTGAACGATAACATTGTGTCACTTTTCTGATAATACCATAAATCTGTGACTGTAGAAGTTCTGAGATTTCTCGGCAAAAAACTGAACAAAGTGATTTTCACTCTCCTCTTTTAATGCCTACTTTACACCATTGAGAGAGAGACCGAAACAAATAATCCGGACTTTACGGTGCATCAAAACTTCCCAGCCAAGCTCTCTCAATCTTTGCCGGGTCATCAAAGATGTACTCGTTGTAGTCTCGAGTTGTCGTGATGGAAGACAAAGCTTTTCTTATTGATCATTTATGGCCGTTTTTCTTCAATCAAACTAGATGTTCGTATTAGAGAGCTAAATTAATTATTTGGCCAGGTTCGAGCAGGTCATGATGAATAATTACTTTCCAATCCCAACAAACACTCAGTGTCAAATTCCTTAGTGTCAAGCCTTTGCCATAATTTGTCAAGCTTCTCCGAGCTTTGACCACGATCTTACTGTCGTACGTGATCAACTTTTCATGACCCATAATGATTTGTTTCAAAACGTTTCGTTTCAGCAGCGATTCACAAATGGAAACTCAATACATTACATCTTTAACTGTTAATTCACATTGAACTCAAGTATCGAGCTTTTTTTTGGTATTTAGCCTTATGTAAATGGTTCAAAACTGTTTTTCTGATCGATGTTTAGTTCCGTAACGATGTTGCAAGGTGAAATATGTCGGTCTATCTCGATTTCTTGAAAAATTTCAATTTTTTCAACGATTGTTCGTCCGAAGCGAAGTTCATCATCAACACAAACGAGCAAACTAATTCTGATACTGGCTTTCGTTTAAGCACTCATCGCCATTAGTGTTGCCCAAATGCGAGACCAAGACAAGTCTTGTTCTTGGTCTTGCGAAAAATTCTCGCAACAGTCTTGCTGTTACCTATAAGCTTATTACTATAGAGATACTACTGTAATTTTTTAGATAGAAGAAATCTAATTAAGCCCGAATGAAAAATTATAAGAGTTAAATGCATATGTATATTGGTTATTCCAATTCTTTTCGTATAGTAACTAAACTTGTCAAGTATTAGTAAAAATGTTACCTTAATTTTCATTAAATTAAGTCAAATCAAGGTAAATTAAGTCTTGGTCTTGCATCAATTAAGCGGTCTTGGTCTTGAACTTGCAGAGTGCAAGACCAAGACCTATTTTTGACAACACTAATCGCCATAAACATGATACAATTTTAGGTGATCCTGCAATTTATTGTTTTCTTTTTAGAAGCAAAATATGACGAAAATAACCTCCTGAAACCTCCATTTATAAACATCAAGAACTGTTGACCAAGTAAATGAATGGCGCTATTTCTTTTTTTTTTTTTTTTAATGAATCTTATATGGACTGTGACCTTTCAATCGCACTATAGAATGACTTCATTGAGTAAGAATTACAAGATAAAAGAGACTTTAAAGTCACCTATTAAGATAAAACGAAATAAAGTTTTCCCTAGACCCAAAAATATAGGTATCACATGGAAACCATGGTGGCCCTCAGATGGCAAGAATTACGATTTATCTCGAAAACGGTACATTTAGGGCCTGATAGTTCCATCAGAACTATACCATGTCTTGACGACCGTTCCAAACAATTTATCTCTGGTTCTAACAGTTTATCCCGATTTGATTGGTCGACTTATGGAACCTCTCAATTTTTTAACTGTAGTAAAATTTTATTTTTCGAAATTGACAATCGTCACTACTCCATGAAATTCCCTTTCGTTTGATACCTCATTTGTTATAATCCATCGCTTCTTTGCAGGGGTGCCCATTCACCCAAGGTCGATGGCGCATAAACCTTCCCCCAACCCCTCCAAAGATATTTTATTCCTCTCTTCTTCATAAAAACAGTGCAAACGAAAGTAGAGTTTAAATATTCGTATTAGAGTGCTACCAATGGGTAGTTTCTCAACAAGCGTGTTGCAAGTGATTATATTCCTCTGTACACATTTACTTGATGTTTTCATACTAATACAGTTGTAAATATCATAATAAAAGTTTAAATATTCGTAGATTATATACAATTACACATGCTGCAGTCTGTTCCATGTCTTTTAATTTTGAAATTTCATAACCTCGTCGAAATTTGCCCCTCCCCCTCAAAAATTGAAAAAACCGTCAAAAAGTGCCCGCCTCTCATAAATGTTTATGGCGCAATTTGCGCAATGAAACCCCATTCTGGGTGCTCCTGCTTCTTAAAGCCGAAAATGAATCTATGCTATCTACAGTATTATAAATAGTATACATTTGATGAATTAAGTTTAGCAAACTAATTATATATTTTTTTTAAAATCTGAATACATTAATAAACAGTGGAAATCATTGAAAAAGGGAAAAGTAAAGGATGTTAAAACATTAATCTGCTTTGATCTCTAAAATACTTTTCTTTTTTTTTCTTTTACATTCTGTTAGGTGCACTGCAAGAAGCGTTCTCTATTAAAAATATGCAAATATTTCAACATTAGTATTCCTGCTTTCAGGTTGAGTAAAATATATCAGTATATTTGGTTAAACGTGCATTTTAAAGTAACATATCTAGACTAGCAAAAAAGAACAGATCGTCACTTCATTTTCTATCGACGTTCCTGACAACGCTCATGAACTGGTAGGCTCTCGCCATAATCTGAAAAAAAATAATATCGTTATTATGTAATTAATATTATGATAAAAATAAAAACAAAGTATTTTAGAGTAGTAAAAAAAGAAATATGTATTTATTTTCACTTTGTATATATTATCAAGTAAAATATTTATATTTTTCAATGTACCAGATATATGTTACAGGCTTTCTCCTATCCCATAACATACAAGATGTTTTACCAGCCACGTAAAATTTAGATAAATTCTCCATAAATAATGGAATAAATAAATTTAAAAAAATTAAATTTATATAAAGGACATAAATGTTCTACTCTCTAATTGTTTGACTCAGTCAATATTTGATTGTGACCACAAATTATTTCATAAATTATTTTTATAATAATTTTAACATTTTACGTATAATTTCACGGCGGATGATGTAGAAGAGATCCTCAGGTAATATTACACACGTCCAAAATAAAAACAGGCTACTGGTCTTTTTGAGTGCTCCTTCCAAAGTTTTTTTTTCTCATTTCTCTAAGCTTTTTTTCTTCAACATTCCATTGTTTTCTCTTACTAGGTCCAACATGGCCATATCCAAGAATGGCGAATCGCATAGATTTTGACTTCTATAGGACAGTAAGGAGGCGACCCCTTCCATTCTATGTACGCTCATAAAGCAACTTAAAATGTTGAAAATTTGTTTTGGTAAACGCATAAGAATAAATAAGCTCACTATAATTATTATAGACGCATTGTATTCGTTTGCCTATGATATTTGCATGATAAATGATCATCATCTATTCATCCGCATAAACACAGTACGCAAATCAAGGTGAGTACAAACGTGAAAAGTGTAGTGGTAGTGCATGGTTTTCCGTGTTTAGAGAGAATCAATCAACCCAAAACAATATCAAACAGAACAAAAGAAAAGCGCCAGGAAAGCTCTAGGATTGGTCGATATTTTATCAGATATTCAATTCTTAATTGGAACCAATAACAAATTATTAAAACTATAATCCATACTACCAAATCGAATTCTCAGTATAAACTATGCTATTGAAAATAGAATTGATGTCAGAATATGAGCTTCACCGGTTTCATACTGTCTTTTATGGAGAAACTTTTCAATCAAAATACTTCCATCAAGCCCGCCTGCATTTGTGATAAAGAGCGACCGATATTGGAAAGATATTAATAATATGAAATCGTTAAAAATTTGATGAGATTTATAAAAAATGTCCGTTATAGAGAAGTTTTCTGTTCATTTGGTTCCCATCTTTCCCAAATAAAGAAGACCGCGATGTATCGCTTTCAATATAAGGCTCAAGCTAAGTTATGTAAAAATGTAGTCATGTTTGAAAATAATTGACAATAAATATAACTCTAACTGAACAAATCGAATAAGAAATTAATTTAACTTTCCAATATAAAATATAATACTATATCACTACCATCTTCGCTATAACAAAATATACCAAATATAATTGAATATTTGATAATATATACCGTAAGATGGGGTAACTTTGGGACACTTTTCAAAGTTTAAAGCTGCTTCTATCTTTACTTTTAAAGATAAAATGCTAATGAAATTGTTAATATGTAAGGTTAGTCTTCCTCTTACAAAATATGGCAAAACAATAACTCTAGAAACAAAAGTATTTTACTAAAAAAAATCTCCTGATAGCCCATTGATTTGGGTAAAGTTAAGACAGTGCATAATTTCCATTAGAAGCGGCAGTAAACATGATTTTGTACCAATGTTACCGAACAAACATATAATTTAACAAACATTATTCAAACACTTCGTACAATTTAGTTTTTGTTAACTGAAGCCAAGATCTCGCTGTAAACTTGCCGCTCTTTCACTTTGAAAATTTCTCGCCAGTCAATTTATCCTTTGAGTAGTGAATTTCATCAGGCGTTGAAGGATATTTCCAATCAGATTATTTCTTTATAGTTGATATTAATATTTCGGCAATCTGATGTTCGAAGTTCTTGAGGTACAAGCGAAAGTTTCATGAAAACAAGAATTTTGAAAAAAGCAATGGAAATAAATAAAACCTAACTGCACAACGAGTGTAGTGAACTAGGTTTCTCAAGCTGTCGCATGGTAACAGCGTAATACATGCCTACACAAAGCACGATTTTGCAGACTGACCACATAGCTCTGGCCAAAAAACGGACCTCATCGCAGGCGAAGGTTTGAATGTAAATTATGAAAGTGCATAACATTTTAATCAAAATAAGCTTTGTCTGCCATTCCAAAGCCGCTTCTTTCAAAAATGGTAGACATGGAAAGAGGACCAAATTTGCCGAAAATCGACCTCATCGCAGGCTAGATGAAACTTTGATAGACGAATCTTTCTACTATGAAACGCCATTTTTGAGCAGTCTGCCGTTTCTGTGCCGCTGCTAACAATGTATTTACCACGGAATCGCCACATACTAAATTTTACCCGCTGTTCCAAAGCTAACCACTCAGTCTCAAAGTTACTCTATGTATATTAATGATTTTATAATATTTTTATTAATCGACCCTTATATATTATAACTTAAGATAGTAATTATAATCGGATAATAGGTTCTAAAATACATTTAAATAAAATAAAACAGATCCTGTTTATTCTTTGTATTCAAAACGTTCCAAACCCTGTTTTTTTTAAAAACAAATAATGGGATCCTCTTCAGTTTTGCTTTAATTTGAGCATCAACACTCCATGTCGGGCAGCATGCTGACATCCACAACAGTATCGCCACAAGGACATCAAGCTACTCTGACACTACCTCTTATCCGACTATAGTAATTTAATCCGACTACTATCATAAGTTATATTAATAATTATATATGATATATATATATATATATATATATATATATATATATATATATATATATATATATTGAATATTTGATCTGTAATTTGATTATTATACTTCGACTACGATCACAGGCGGATCTACGGGGGGAGCTTTCGGGCTGAAGCCCTCCCCCCCCAAAATGATAAAATATAACCATGTTTTAAAGAAAAAAATATTAAAAACTATATCTTAAACTATTATTGTTCGTTTAATTACATTTAATAGGACTTCAAGAATAACTAAGACACAATGTCATATGGGCAGTTAGTTTCTTTCTTTTATTTTTTTTTTCAAATTAATTATCGTTATATATATGAAAAAAAATCCTTCGGGCTGAAGCCCCCCCCCAAAATTAAATCCTGGATCCGCTAGTGACTACGATCAGTCGGCAATCTTATCTAAAGGTTAACTCATGCAGATCTAAGTTGAAAATAACAACATATACAATTAGAATATTAGGATATCATCTTTCAATATATTTATTATTTTTTAAGTTATGCTGAATAATTGTATATCTCTTTTGATTGTTACAGCTTTCGTTTTCCTTATCTCAATAAAACTAAACAATACATACAATTGGTTAATTTCCATGAGAATATTCGGAGATTAACAAACATTTATTGGTTTAAACGTTAATAACAAAAGAGAAAACGTTAACCTAATTATTAGTTTTATCTTACATCTCCGAAAGATTCTAAGGACATATTAGAGCTGAAGAAAGGAGCATTGATGACAACTGGATTCATCGAGTTGGTCATCATTATATGCAAAATTAATTTGTTCTGTTTATCAAACTTCCACCAAGGGATATCCCAAAGAGCGAAGAACATCTTTGCGCTCTGAAAAAGAAAAAAACTAAACACTGATGTGTACCTATCAGTAAACACATAGATTTGTAAATTTAGGAATACATCTATTCTCCATTGAATATAAGTATATACAATATTATACCTCTTGTGAGTAGAGTTCACCGTATATGCATACGACAAAAACGTAAATTATTTCGGTGCTTAAAAGCCAAAACAACGTTGATGCCTCAGACAGATCTTGGAGCTAATAATATTTTAAAGTTATTTTGTCTTGATTTATATTAATTTTTGAATAATTTAAAAAAAAAGTGATAGTCGATAGATTACCTCTAAAATGACAAACATTATCGCAGCGAAAACGACTATCGAAGCAAGAATGAGTAAAACGAACACTGCTTCAACGTAAGTCTTAATATTATTTCTGAACCTGTAAAAACAACAATTTTTAATCTATCAATTTAGTTAATACATAAAATATTAATAATATAGAAAGGATATTGATACAAGATTCTAAAAACAAAGCCTCAAATTGCTTAAAATGCATTATATAATTAACCAGTCAACTCAGGAATTTTAAGGAATAAAAAACATAAAATCAGATTAATGTATATCTGGCATAAATAAGAAAAAAAACTAATCACATAGAGATGCTACATAACTCCGAAGCAATTGAATATTTATAATTGTTTATAAATGCAATTGATTGTTTATAATATTTGTAATTTCAAAGTACACCCAGATACTCTGATTATTTTGTGATTCATTGATATCTTGTTTACTTAATTTATTTTATTGGTAAAACAGTAAAATATTTAATAATTGACCTTTGCATTATAAATGAAGGAGATGGTCCGGGGTGGCGGTCATAAATAGACTTAATAGTGGTAAAACTTTTTATTAAAAGCCGACGTTTCATTATTCTAAGTATTTCCGCTTTGTATGATCTCTCTTCTATTTTATTTTAAATTTATATTTACACTATACATCAATGTATGATAATCCTTTTCCCACTTTGTATTCATTTTACTTATTAACCATGTCTCAATATTATCTAATATTCAAATGTAACTTTCTTACATATGTACAACCAAATATAATTATAATTATTAATTTTTTCCCTCTCCATACATCTAAGTTAGTTCTGCAATGTATGTATGTAAATGAAGTTGCTTCTATATTTATATTTTACTTCTGCCAATTTTGTGTTTATTCATATTATACTCTTATCTCTTAATTCTACTTTATATGTATATGTATATATTTATAATTTAATATTTCATAGATATGGTATTTTTCCATTGTATCCATCCATACCTTCAAATTTTAGATACTGTAATTTTCTAGGTTTTTCCCCATTATCCAAACAAGTCAGCTTCCTTTATACCTGCCCTTACCCCCTTGTTTTCCAGTTCCAAGTGAAACTCCTATCTGAACACACCTGTAAGTCATTAATTTCATTCTTCTATTTTATTTACCTATTTATTTAATTTTTGGTTTCCATTTCTTTTCTTTCTCCACATTCCTTTATGTCTATTATTTCATATTATATCCTTTTTCCCTTTTCTTTCAATCTCTCCTGTAGATCTGTAGAAGTATATTCACATTTAAATTTATTATATATCACACTACATTAATTGTTAACATCTATTTACTTCATTTTAGGATCTTGTTACTTAGCATACTTTGTTCATATTTTAATGTACTTAATGTTTATAATTTCAATAAGCTTATTCACATTGTTTATAATTTTTGTCTAAATATTATGTAACTGCCACAATTCTGTATCTTTTTGTATCTTGTCCGTTCTAGCGCTAAAGAACACCTGCAAAGTCGGGTCGAAACGTCGGCTTTTAATAAAAATAGTTTTACCACTGTTTAGCCTATTTATGACCGCAACCCCGGACCATCTCCTTCCTTTTTAATTTATTTTATATTTATACACGGTTTTATATATTTTTATTATCTACAATTTTATTGTAATCATCCTGTAAATACTAAATTATATTTTATGGACACACCAGAATATTAATATACTTTCTGTATTTTTGTACTTGTTCTAAAGCGACATTAGTCCCAGAATAATAAAATTATTTTCATTCATTCATTCACATATAAGAAAAATCAGTGCCCTTGCAAAGTACTACTGTAGTAGCTAAACATAAGAAAAAAAAACTAATATGCAGAAAATAAACAAAGGCAGTAAAAAAAAAAATTTACTATAGACATCTCATCAAGCCAACCAAATTCATACTGATATACACGTAATCGTATTTGGATGGCTAGGTAAGATGTCAGTAGACAACATTTTTTTCTTTTCTCTTTTTTTTTGTATATATTTGATTTTATTTTTTCTGTCTTGATGATGCCTAAATTGGCGAAATGTTAGCAGGTTGATTGTTCACCTCTATGCTTGATACTCGTGGCTATATAGTTCGTTATTTAAATTATCATATGCTGTCTATATTTTTTGGTTTATTATTTCCATTATAAACCATTGTGATCGACCAAAAAATTCAAAAACTGAACCCCCTCTCAAAATTTGAGGTTTTACGTTTTAGGATACGTAGAATTCGAAAAACGAATAAAAATTTGTTGGTCCGTCCGCAGTCCGAGCATTTTCTCCGAAATGACCGATTTTTTCAAATTTGGATATAAAATAAGAGGTCACCCGAGGATGATCTTCCTTCATCGACATTACTATCCGCCTTTTACTTTCAAAATGGCGGCCGAAAAACCTACGTTGCTGCCTGTAGCGCCTAAACGAATGCACCGATTTCAATGAAACTTCGCTAAAGTCACTTTCTCGACACCCTTTAAATTTATCTACATAACATACTTTAACGAAAAGAAGCTGGAAAAAAAGTTACAAGGGATGGTAAAATTAAATTCCGAATAACTCAAAAAGTAAACATTTTTTTGTTGATATTGTATGTGTTTTTTTTTAAATGTTTACGGAATTTCCTAAAAACAAAACAAAAAAAAATCATTAAAATTGGACAATTATGAGGAAAGATATGGTTGTTTTTTTTATATGTCCTGATGCAAAGGTTATATCCTTTGTTTTGGTTTTTGAATTTTGAATGTGTTACTTAGGTAATGCTAATTTTTTTAGCATATTAGTAATTATTAAAAAAAAAAGTTTAGTCCATTGATTGGGATCACCTTTTATTTATTACTTTCCTATCTATACTAGGTAAGGAAAGTATTGCAATCGGTTCAAATTTCCGACATGCGGTTTTCGACGGATCTATACGTTTCAGAGCCCCCTGAGTCCGAAACACATTTTTAGCCATTGGTCGGTCTTTCTGTGCCAAGATTTTCTCGAGAATCACTGAACCGATTTGGTTGCTTCTTTTTTTATTTTGTAGGATTTTGCCTACTGATGCCTGTGACAGATATTCGTTGCTCCATGCGCAATAGCTTGCGCGCAATAAATGAAAAACATGTTTTTCTATAGACTGTAGCGCGAAAACGGCTCTAACGATTTTGATGAAACTTTTCTATGATGTTCTAATCATTGTCCATTCAATTTTCGTATATAGACTAAATTCCCGAAAAAAATCAGGAAAAAAAGTTATAAAGAAAAGAAAAATGTTATGAGGCCTACCTCCTTAAGTATTTATTATACGGTAAAATTTATAATAAAACGTTTGAAAAGCAATGAAATTCCCTACAAAGCCATATAAAAATCGTTCATTTTGGATATTTATTAATGAAGTTACAGCTATTCCAATGAAAGATTACGAGTTAATATCCTGGTGTCAGAAAGGGATGAATGAGAGAATAAAGATGACTAAGTGGAAGTAAGAAAATCTGCCCGCATCACACAATCTTCACTATTTCCTCTACTTTTAACAGAAATTATTTTTTGACAATACTCAGCTATGACAAAAAGTTTTTGATCAGCAATATTAGTGAGTATTGAAAATTTTACACTGATCTACCTTAAGTCGGTTTCATTGCTTTAGTTTATCAAATAAATCGTACTCAAATCTTTTGTTTGATCAATTTATAGGAAAATAAATTCAGTTCAATTCTTTTTTGTGTGTTCATGAACATATGAAATGATATTAAAACTTTTCTGAAATAGGTAGGAAAGTCGTGTGAGTGGACACACCAGATTTTTTTTCTTTGTAACTAGGAAGGTAATGTTACTTTAGATGTATAATTGTTTGGAAATAATAAACCATTGTGAAATAATTTGCAGCGTTTTTTACATTAGTATGATCTTATTATTATTTTTTTTAGTCCTGGTAATTTATGAACTGGCTAAATGTTGAATGTTTAACCATTTATAACTGCCGAGATCTTATAATAATTGTTTTTTATTAAAATAAATATGTCATAAAAGTCTAACCTCAATAGTGTCTGATGGTGTTGCACATTCTGGCGCAAGCATTGTGACACACACTTTTGAAATTTACTTGTTCTATAGAGCTCATCCATTGAGATCTCGTCGGTATATGTCTTTCCTTTGGAATAGATGGAATATGCTCTCTTTTCAATGTTGGATATAGAAATATTTAAAATCTCGAATTGCGCTATACCCTGCTCCATAAAGCTTAAAAAGATCTGCTGAGCGCTAGACGTTATCACTACAAGATAGAAGAAAGCAACCACATTCATCAGGTATCCGAGGACGAATCCAATTGTTGTAGTCGTGTCGAAAGGCAAGAAGATCGGTATCGGAAGACCTGTGTTGATGGACTTACCATAGTTCCCGCCCTCCGGAGACTTCTTAACTTGTTTGATGAAGGAGAGGAGTATCCCGTTGGATATAGCCAGGCCGAGGAACATGTTGCTCACCTTTCTTATCCTACGAACATGGTATGCCTTCCTCTCGAAATATCTTTCGTCGATGGCCTCGTTTTTGTAAGTAAAGAAGCCAATCCTGATCATCTTCAAAGGTTCGTCCAGACCTATAGTATACCGAATGATCATGAATGTCAAGCCTACAAGGTTAAGGAAAGTCCAGTGGACAGCTTCCAACTTCAACTTTTTATCATGAATGAGGATGACAGCAACAGATCCCATGCTCACGAGAAAAGAATAGAAAAATATTATAGCATAGACATAAATTTTACTAAGAATATATTTAAGCTTAGAATCATAATTCACTTTGAATCCTGACATGTACATGAGATTTATTCTATCTGTTTCGTAGTCATGAGTGATTTGTCTGTCGATTTTGATATCTTCAGCAAATGATTCTTTAATTTCCATCGTATGAATAAATATCTGAAATGAACATAAAACAATTATTTGAGACTCATAATTTTTTTAATATTTTTATTGATGATATTTAAAACTGTATTACAAATAAAAATACATTCAGTAAATGTGAACAAAAGAATATAATAACATGAAATCACTTGTTGAGAAACTACCCACGGGTAGCACTCTAAAAATGTATTTACAAAAGGAGATCTCGAGGCTATCTTCTTTTCATACGTCTTGGAAGGTTGTCAGGGATCGAAGAGAAAGCAAGGTTAGAAACGAGAGGGTTTGGGTGGTCAGAAACATGAGGAACATTAAGGTCGTTATGGATGATTTTATTTGTGACAAAGTAAGGAGCAGTGAGGATTTTACGAAGGAATTTGGATTGTAAGGATTGGATGCGAGAGGAATTCGATGGCTTAGTGGAGCCCCAGAGTTCAACTCTGTAAGTCCAAATAGGTCTTATTGTAGTCATGTATATGAGTCTTTTGTAATTGACTGGGAGCTTAGAGCGTTTGTCTAGTACGTGCTGGAATAGTCGGAAACGTCGAGCGGTTTCTTGTCGTTTCAGTCTGGTATGAGGATTCCAAGTTAGACGTTTGTCTAAGTAGACTCATTGTTAAATTTAATTTCACTTACCTACATTTGAAGTAGTGTAGGAGAAAGTTTTAAGGTCCCCTGAGTTCAAATAGCCAAGTTTCGGAAAATGGTCTATGAGTATGTAATATGTGTGATCTGTATATAAATGTATGTCGTTTAGGTCAAAAACAAAAAGTACGAAATTGACATTAAGTAATAAAGGTAAGTAGGTATATGTATGTGATGTTACAGCAACTTTTTCGTCAAAATCAACAAACCTGAAGCGATAGTTGTATTATCGAAAATGGCTAACGATTTTGTCTAAACCCATTTTATGTAAAATTAAATGATCTTTTGTTCCAGTTAGGTTTTGTCCATGTTTAAGTATGCTTAAATGCCGATAGTTAAAAATGTCTTTCCCTGAAGAACTTTTAGATCTCTCATAGGCTATGGTGATTATAAAATGAATAATTATTAACTATGAAAAAATTGGATAATTAACTAGAGAAATAATTTCTGAGGTTGAAAACCAATTTCAGGAAATAAGAGTAGGAATATAGGCGTATAAGCCATTGAAAAGATAAAGATTTTAGAAAAATTATTATCTAATAAATAAAATCGTAGAACTTAATGGAGATTTTGAACAAAAGTTATCGACTTTTAATTTTTTTAGTTAATAGAGTTTATTTTTTAGTATTATTGTTCATTTATAAAGAGAAAAATAAATGGAAAACGATGAGTGGTATGTGATATACCGCACCATATTATTTAACTTTAGGCTTAATCGATCAAGCCGTTTTTGAAATATAAGTGTGTTAAAGAAAGCATGCAAAGGCAAAAATAGTAAATTAAATTTGACAAAATTGAAATATGATCATCAAGGTTAAAACCTGCATTATTGGAATTAATTTATACTTGAAAAATTATTAAGATTTTAAGCTCGTCAAATTACTCACAAAACTGTACTATTATTACCTATGGAAGGTCTTGGGTTCAGCACTTCGTTAGGAAGAACTGTTTCAAGACGAACGGTTGTGCATGGAGAGGATCGGGTAAAGATCACGCCCAACTGCCAGGTTTTCCTCTTAATTAATTATATAATTAATAGTACCCACTTATAGAGGCTGGGTGTAGCCCAAGAGGGTTTCAAGACCTGAGAGTAAATCCAGGGCTGAAAAAACAGAATAAATATCTGCCATCAGCCGGATCCGAAGCCTTGAGCTTAGGAAGTCAGTCCAACAACAGACGGGCAATCGACCAAATTTATTCCTTGTTACGTAAAACGCGAGCGAAAATTTTCTATTTTTATGAATTTTGTTTTCACTTTCTGCATGAATACATACAACCTTCTCTTTTCATAAATGTTTATTTTGAAAGTCCAGTGAAATTGCTTTGTTAAAAAAAAATCTTTGTTATCATATAACACTGTATGTACTAAACAAATATACAAAAATCGTTTAACTAAATAAGTAACAATTTAATAATTGTGCACAATATATTAACGTACCCTTTGCTTTAGACTTTATGTAGCTTAAGATTGGTGAGCGATCAAATGTTATGTGTACTTCTCCACTTGGACAGCTCGATAATAAGGAACCGATTTGATTACAAAATAATCAGCTTGTAGCTAATACTTAGTTCAATTCTGTTTTCAAAACTTATTCAAATATTCATTAGAGTTCAGTTAAACTCTCTGCTGACAACTTGCTAATGATTATAGGTCTCTGAAATGTAAGGACCCTGAGACACTTTAATATTATTGGTAATTATTGGTCTCGACATGGAATAAGCGTCTTGGTATAGTAACAACAAATGTAATGTGCAAACATTGACCTTCATTTGAACATTAGGAGATATATATTTTACAAGTTGGCGAATAAAAAACCCTTGCGAATAATTCACATAATATATTGACCAGTAAACAAATGGAAGTAAATGTAATATTTTTTTTTATTTATTTAGAAATATAACAATCCGTCACGTAGACAATAATTATATATGAACACGTTCATACCATATATAGAGAAAATATAAAATTAATAAAAGTAAATTTTTTTTTTTTTTTTTTTTTTTTTTTTATCTACCTGTTTATTGAGTAATAATACATTTTGCCACACTTAAGAGCACTGAGTACTAAGGCTGAGTGAAGCACATTCATACCATATATACAATACATAAAAAAAAAATAAATAAAAAAATAAATAAATAAAAAATATAAAAATCTATATAACAAAGACAAAAACTATAATAAACCAAGGAAATGTAACTTAGAGTTAAAATTAAATGAAATACAGAAATTCGTAGCAAAATTAAATAAATTATAAGTAATAGAAATAAATAGAAAAACATTAATACTTAAATACAATATTTACAATTAGGTAAGAGATCTCCGAGTCCAGCCCTTTCCCCCACGTGTGAAGGACAAAGCGAGACTCTAAGAGATCCCAGCGCTTCTCTCTCAACCGCATCGCCGGCATTACCTGTCCGGTGGAGAATGAGAGAGGGCACTAAAACCACAAACACTCATGACTTGAGTGGAGAAGCTGGCCATTGCTAGAACTCCAGTGACGTCTTTACAAGAGATCTCGAGGCCACTGCCGTTTCAACCTTCGAGGAGGGTTGTAGGGATGACTGGAGCTAGATAAGGATTGTGCTAAAGGGTTAGGATGGAGGATTAGGTTCATGTGAAAATTTGAGAATCGAGATGGAATAACGTCAAGGATATAAGGGATGTAAAGGTCATGATGTAGGGTTTTGTTTGTAATGTAATAAGGAGCATTGACTATCATACGGAGGACTTTAGACTGAAACGATTGGATGCGTTTGATGTTCGAAAATTTAGTTGTCCCCCACAAGTCCGTAGGTCCAGATGGGTTTGAGTATGGTCTTGTATATTAATAGTTTGTTTTCTATTGATAGATTGGATTTTCTGTTAAGTAGTCTGTATAGCTGGCCAAATCGTCGGTTAAGTTCTTGTCTTTTAAGTCTAGTATGTTGGTTCCAAGTTAGTCTTTTGTCTAAAAGGAATCCAAGATACCGAACTGTGTCTGAGACGGGGAGAGGTACAGAGTTGAAAAGGATATGTGGACAGGATCTGCGTCGGAGGGTAAAGGTGACATGCTTGCATTTGGATTCATTGATCTTAATGCGCCAATTGTTGCACCATTGCTCAATTAGGGAGATGTGTCTTTTGTAGATTTAAGGATGCAGTTTCAGGAAATAAAAGTAAAATAATAATAAAAAACTATGTACAATAAAAAATAAAATAACCTAAAAATGAATAAATTAAAAACTTAAAATTACTACTTATACACAATAATACCAACCTATACACAATACAATAAATACCTATACACAATATATACAATCAGGCAGAGAACCCCAAGCCAGGCTTCTCCCTCCAACTATAGAAGGAAAAATAGGACTTCAAAAGATCCCTGCGCTACTTTCTGAACCGCGTCACTGCTGCTAAAGCCAGTGGAGAATCTGGCCATTGCCACAACTCCAAGATATATACTACAAAAGATCTCTGTGCCATTGCCGCTTCAACCTTCGAGGAGGATTGTAGGGATGAGTGGAACTTATAGAGATTGTGCTAAGGGATTCGGATGATTTATAAATTTCTGATGGAATTTGGAAACATTTTCAGAGATAAGGACGAGGACAAATGGGACATTAAGGTCATGATGTAGGGTTTTGTTGATTACGTAGAACGGAGCATCGACTATTCTTCGGAGGACTTTGAACTGAAAGGATTGGATGCATTTGATGTTAGAAAATTTTGCTGTCCCCTAAAGTTCAAGTCCGTAGGTCCAAATAGGTTTCAGTATTGTCTTGTAGATAAGTAATTTGTTTTCAATTGAAAGTTGAGATTTTTTAGTCAGTAGTATGTATAATTGGCCGTATCGTCGGTTAAGTTCTTGTCTTTTAAGTCTAGTATATGGGTTCCACGTTAGTCTTCGGTCTAAGGTAAAGCCAAGATGTGCCAACTGTGTCTGAAAAAGGAAGCTGGATGGAATTAAAGTGGACTGATGGACAGAATCTGCGTAAAAAGGTAATGTGTTTGCTATTGGATTCGTTTACTTTGATGCGCCATTTATTACACCAGTGCTCAATCAGGGAGAGCTGTCTTTGCAGATTTAAAGATGTTATTCGGGATCTGAGTTGGATGATAGGATGGCGGTGTCATCAGCAAATGTTGCCAGGAAGATAATATGTAATATAGAAATTAGTAAATG